AAAAAAAGAACTGGCCCCTTTGCCCAGTTCCCAAAAAAGAACTGGTCACTACATCCAGTTCGCGAAAAAGAACTGCCAAGCTTGCACAGTTCTTCAAAAAGAACTGCTGGATGTACACCGTTCTCGAAAAAGAACTGGCCACCTCACTCAGTTCTTGGAAAATATACAGTTCATAGAACTGGGATCTGTCCTAGGTCTAATTAAAACAATTGATTATATGAGTAAAGTCGATCTATCTTTGACAAAATTCCGTTAGAAAATATTTTCAAACTAAATAATAGAACTAAAATTTTTCTGGAAAAAGGTCATTTTATTGATGGAAGAGTTTATTTATTTTTGATCGGAGAATATTATTGTAAGCAAAATACCATGGCTTAGAGTCTATGAAAAAAGAAAACAACATGTTCTTATTTCTTTATTATATATATTTCAGGTAGGTTCTGCAATTCAATCTGGAGCTGGAAATCGTCGAATGAAAAAGTAATATCAATTGATATCTTGAATAATATATCTTATTTTCTCTAGAGTGGATGATTGTCTTTTGCTAACATTCTATGAAGCTGTTCATCTTAATCGAAATTTTATCTCAGCGCTCACACATGTAAATATTTCATATGTATACATAAATCAATAGGTATTTTTTTATTTGTAGACAGCAACAAATACATGGACAACAAAAGGATCATCTTTATTCAACAATGATGCTTTACCTCCATCATTATCAGCCTTAACATCAGCATCGATGTCTGTTGGTTAGTAAATTTTTGATTAATTATAATTACTCGAAATTTTGTTCATTTGTCTTTTTGTTTTTCAGCTCAAGATCAAACCGATTTTTCTAATATCGATGATTTTTCAGCATCGAATAATCTTCTTTCGGTTTTTCTTGAATATTGTTCCATTATTCAACAATTTTCAAAAAGTAAAAAACAAAAATTATTCTTTTTTTTGTTTTTATAAATAATGCCTTATTTCTAATAGATGAAGATATGTGTAATACAACAAAATTATGTTATTTAATTCTTCTTTGTATAACAGAAGATGAATTTGCAAATGCAACAATGCATGATGAAAATGTTACATTTAGTGTTTATCTTCATAAAGCTGTATGAATTGTTTTTCTTTTTTTTTTTTGCTTTAATCAATAATAAAATGTCTTTTTTTTTTTGGTTACATTATTTTAGCCAATGCGTCATCGTAAAAGTAGTAATGAAAAAAATCTTCCATCACGGCCATTAGCTGTTGCACTTTTGGATTTAATGATGGAATTTATTTGGAGTCATATGATGCGTAATTTTCCATTTGATCTTTATACGTAAATTTTTTTTGTATTCGAACTAAAACAAATAAATTCTTAATTATTTTTTATTTCAAATAGAAAATGTATTGGTATTATTCAACGTATACTTTCATTTCAAAAACGTACTCGAACACGTTTATCATATTCATGGAGACCATTATGGAATGGTAGCATAAACTATTTTTTTTTTGTTGTTGTTTCTTATTATAATATCATTTAAATATAATTTAGCATTAATAAGTCTTTTAAAATTTCTTCAAAATTGTGAATCACAATTAACAAAACATCGTGATTTATTTCAATTAGCTTCGAAAATTATTAATATTTTTAATTTATTTATAACATTTGGTGATACATTTTTAAGAACACCAGAAGCATATGATGAAGTTTTTTATGAAACAGTACGATGTTATCATGTATTCGATAATTTATATGCATTTGGTAAATAATTTATTATATATGAATTTTTATTTTTGTTTACTATTGAAACTTTTGTAGCTTGTCGATATGCAAATAATGATAATGAATTTAAAGAATCAGCATTGAAATTAATGGTTAATTTAACAAATATTAAGTAAAAGAAAAATATAAAGAATATTTTCATTTTTTGAAATTGATTTATTAAAATTTGTTGTTTTTTAGACTTATAACACATCATTTTAATGCAAAAATTGAAGCTTTTTCAACTAGTCAAAATAATCCATTAACAGAAAATCAAGTATAGAATTCAAGTTTTATTTCAATAATAACAATTTAGTTTTCTTTTTTTGCTTAAAAGGTACTTGATATTATTCGAAATAATTATGATACTTTGGCACTTAAATTACATGATGATCTTGATCAATATGATAATTATTCAGAAAAAACATCTGAAGCATCATTCTTTGCCAATATAGTAAGTTTTATTTCTAATCGTACAACTTCATAATTGACAGATATAGCAAGTTGAACGGTATACTAGGGAGTTGTAGGTCCTTCTAGACCTGAATCTGCAGCTTCCTGCAGAGTACATTTAGAAAAATCAGTTTTGAAAATGAATATTCTGACTATTCGTCCGTACATATATCTTAATTTCGACTTTTCTGACGAATATTAACTTAGGTTTTTTGAAAGCGAAGGAATCTTAATTGAACTATAATCCTGTTTGAAATCAAAACCTAATAACATACTCAACATCCAAAGATGAATGTCAAAACTTTAAACTTAAATATTTTAGACTGAAAATGAAAATAGAATGATAATTTAAATATATCGAGGAAATATAGTATAGCTACGCATCATTTTTATTTTACTACTGCATCTTTGATAATTTTAATTATAATGGAACTTTTTTTTTTTTCTTCTAGACGCGTAACATAATTGGACAGTATCGTCGACAATATTCATTGGATACAAATAGTTCTGTACAACTTTCCAATATTCTTCTTAATGAAGTACCAACCATCAGTTAATTGATCAATTATTAATGATCTTCAAAACAGAAACGTTTCAGACTTCTATCTCGTGACTGAATATACTTCCTATATATGTTTGAATGTTTCTGTGATAGTCATTCAATTGGTTGTTTTGGGTTTATCTTTCTTTTCTCTTTTTCCTTTTTTCTTTTTCTTCATTATACAACAAAATAGCAATTTTACTTGTATATACGAAATCACTATCATTCTAGATGGCAACAATAACTTTAACTGTGACTCCATTTCGAAACAAGTAAATTTTGTTTTTTATTTTTTTTTGAAAGACATGTTTTAATTAAATATTTTAGTCAAGAAGTACGAAAATTAATTGAACTTGCTTATTCAAATGAAATTGACGATAAACGAGAAGCAATCAATAAAATTAATCAATTAGAAGCAAGGTTTGAATAGTTTTTGAA